CCAGCCGCTAGCGTCACTGTGGACACCAGGTATCAAAACACCGTCAGTTATTTCTCCACAGAGACCTGGACAAACCCAGAATCGCGCAGGTAGGCAGAAGGCCGGGTGACTACTTCCAGCTGTCGCATTCCGCCCAGGACCCCTGTGACTGCTGCAGGGAGCTTTTTGTCGACTGTAGCTATCCTTCACAGCCTGAGGTTGAAGTTCAACAGGTCGAGCAGGGTGGAAGAGCTCATCTACTGCTGCAAGCAAGATTTTACACAGGCTAGACACACAATACGGCCTTTTAAGAGATTTGTGCGAAATACCATGATAGGCACTCCCTGGGTTTTGAAGAAAGTTCTCCCTTCTTCCTTGACCTGTCTCAAGACCTTTTCCCTTGGGAAGCATCGTCCTCCTCCACACACAAACTGACACCCACCACTTACGCAAACAGCATCCAGTTAACAACACAAAGCCACTGTCATCATTTAATGCAACTCACAGACAAGAAGATTCCCAACAATAATTTCCCAGATTTAAGAACACTCATTTCACACTTCCACAAATCCTTTCACAGGTTTTTCTCCAGGCAGTTCATGTAACAAACCCGTAAATCCCCAGTCACCAGAACACTGTCAGCCACAGAGCTCCAGACCAGCCTCACTTTACCTACGTGGTTTACGAGAAAGATCCCATTGCAAAGAGACAAACATTTCCATTCAGGGAACAGGTCCAATACATCATGGAGAGAACCGTTTACAGCGTTTCAGGTTTGTAACTGCAGCATCCCTGCACCGCTCCACATTTCCAGGACTTGCTGCTCCACAAGCTCACCAACAACTACTGTATGCAGGTAGAATTTTACCTTCAGTGCTGCATGTACTGCCTGAACTAGGGAGTGTGCTGCAAATCACACCACACTCATGATAGCTCCCTGATCTGAGCCCACCGAAAGAGAAAAGCGTTCCTACAAAATCCAGGTTTTCCATCTGTCACCTCGCTCTCCCCTTCACCAGAGGTAAGCAAACTGCTACTTACAGCGGTACGTGGGGTTGTTCTGGGTCTGCTTTGGTCAGTTCCTCCTCTTCAACGTCAGACTCTCCTCCCGAGCTGCTGTCAGTGACATCCGAGTCAAACGCTTGTTCGCTGGATCTCAAGTTGGCCATACCACTGGCCGTGAATCTCTCCAGTTCTTCTGATATTGAATCGCTCTTCAAGAAGCTGCTTAGGCTTTCCGAAGTCACTGTCTCACTGGCAGCTTTCCGCAAGGCTGCTTCTGCTTTTCTGGTCAACATCAGCTGGCTCCGATGCCTCAGGGGGTCCAAAGTTGGAAGCTTGCTCAGAGTTTTCTCCAAGAAGCCACCCAACTGCTGCTGGATGTGTCTCTCCACCTGCTTCGCCTGCACCACCTGCAAGCGTTTCTGCAGCCTGCGGGCACGGTTCTCAATGTCAGCCTGCCGTCGCAGCAATGCCCTCGTCCGCATCTCGGAGTCAAGAGCGCTGTGGTGACCGGCCAACAAGGAAGGTTTCTGCTCCTCCAACTTACTGCTCCCGAAGTCAGAGTGACCAGCAACACCGGGCAACCTAGTCTCTCCACCACCACCCTCGAGCACCCGCTGTTGCTCCGTGGAATTAAGGGAAGATTTGTTTGCAGTGCTATTATTGCTAAACGGAGTCGTGTGCTCTGCGCCAAGGCTTCTGTGTGGAAGAGTGCAATTGGTCAACCCGGTCTTCAAGTCCCCCAGTTCGGAACCTTCTGCATTATAGTCAACAGCAGGAGGAGCACACTTCCCACCATTCAAAGAACTAGAGTTTTCATGGTCTGAATTGGTACTTTTGGCCAATTTCTTGGCCAGGCCATTCACAGGCGCTTGTGGGAGAGGTGGCTGGCTATTAGCACTCATTGTTTTTAGATTCTCCAACGTGAATTCCAACACTGGTTGCCTCCCCAACAGATCACTTGTTTTCAAGAAGGACTGAGATAAGAGAGAGTGAGATTTAAGGACTGTCTGCTTGTTGAAGACTCCTTGCAGCTTCAGAGGCTCCTTTGAAGAAACAGATGTTACATCCGAGCAGAGATAAGAGGCCACTAGCGGCTGCAGCTTGCCCAGCTCTTCCTTCGTAGAGTTGTTTCGGAAATCTAAACTGGGATCCTCCGGAGCAATGGCTTTCCTTTTGGTGCCGTTGGCAGCCAGGAGGATGTTGCTGGCGTTGCCGTTGCTCTCGGCACTGCCAGGAGACAAGGTGGAGGACGGGGGAGCCAGCTTGAATCGGATGTGGTGAGCTTCAGCTGCTGCGTCAGTGAGAGCGGGCGCCATCGCAGCCATTCAGCACAGAGAGACGGGAAGTCCAGCCTCTCCCGGTGCCGAGGCCAGCTCCACTGCCTCCCACTGCCTCTCCCGAGGGCAGCCTGCAGAAGGCAAGGAGAAAGAGAAAGTTAGGCATTGCATTGAGTGAAAATCAACCAAACAAGACCGACAACAGCAGCGAGACTTATCGACTCCCGGTGAAGCCGCACGAGCTTCACCCTCAGCGCAGCATCCTCCCTCTGCCCCCAGCAGCCTCGTGCTCGGCAGAGCCACCCGGGCACCCGGCAGGTAAAAACACAAGCAGCAACACGCACGCCGGTCCTCAGGGTGTCCCATAGCTAGTGCCCACCTGTGAACTACTATCCTCATCTTTCAGTCCACCCACCGCCCACCCCAGCAGCCTTCCAGGCCCTCATGAAAGGTCTGGCCCTGTTACACTCCCATTCCTCAATGCCAGCAGCTCACTGACTTCATCTTTAAAAATCCCCGAGCTACACACACAAAAGTTTTCACTGCTCCTACTGCCAGCTCAGATGCGTTAAAAATGACAAATTAGAGCTATAACATGTAGCAGAGGCAGGGCTTGAGAGGAACAAATCTCCATATGCTTGAACTCCCAGTGACTGTAGAAACCCCCCACCCACTGGCAACCCCACCGCTTCCCTGAAAGCCTGGGATGTGAAAGTCCTTTCCCTGGTGCACGTGAAACCTACTTTCCCAGAAGTACATTTCCGAATAAGCCAGGTGATTTCCAGTGTTAGCTATTCCCATTTCTCTTTCAAGAGCATGGATAAAGATTAACCCACAGGCACACCATGACAGAGCAGTTCCACGCTGGCTGCACTAGCGAGCCATGGCCTAACTCAACTAGGCCAAACGGGTTAAGAGAAACAACCAAAGCCCTTTCATTCTCTGCTCTTGTGAGACCCAACCTGAGTGCTGCATCCAGCTGTGGAACCCACAACATCAGAAGGATATAGATCAGTTGGAGCGAGTCCAGAGGAGTCCATGGAGAGGCTCTGAGGGCTGGAGCCCCTCTGCCATGGGGACAGGCTGGGAGAGTTGGGGGGTTCAGGCTGGAGAAGGGAAGGCTCCAGGGAGACCTTATAGCACCTTCCAGTGCCTGAAGGGGCTACAAGGAAGCTGGAGGGGGGACTTTTTACAAGGGTCTGTAGTGACAGGACAAGGGTAATGGGTTTAAATTGCAAGTGGGGAGGTTTAATTAGGTATCGGGAAGAAATGCTTCCTGCAGAGGGTGGGGAGCACTGGAACAGGTTGCCCAGAGAAGCTGTGGATGCCCCATCCCTGGAAGTGTCCAAGGCTAGGCTGGATGAGGCTTGGAGCAACCTGGTCTAGTGGAAGGTGTCCCTGCCCACAGCAGGGGGGTTGGAACTGGATGATCTTTAAGGTCCCTTCCAACCCAAACCATTCTATGATTCACACACACTGCAACCTTTGCCCTCCATCGCCTTCCCCTTTCAGGTTACTTACCTACGTCCTTTACCACTAAAGCTGTCAGTGTCTAATGCCTTGGTTTTAACTGCATGCAATAACCCACAGCACAGGCTGTGCCAAGTTAGTTTATTTTCCTTCTGCTGCAAAACTTACCTACCACCTTCCTAACCTATTTCAATGTCAATCTAATAATAAGTTGTCCTGATCTCTCATCTGATATGCCAGTTCTCTAATTTCACATAAATTCACACAGGCTTGTCGTAGCTGTTCATTAAGGCACCCCAATGACCAAGTTAATATACCATTTTGCAGGAAAAGCAAGGGCTACCTAAAGTTTGAATATGCTGAATGGGCAAAATTTAACAGCTTGCTTTGTTTCCAGCCTCGTCCAGCTGCACCAGTTGCTCCCCAGCGTCACACCAGCTGCTTCCCTGTAACAGGGACCACAGGCAGACCTTAGGGCTCCAACACACCACGTACCAAAACCTGAGTTCTTGTGAAAGGTCAGAGAGGAGTTGGAGAAACAACCCCACATCCCCACAGAAGGAAGACCCACAGCACAAGCTCAAAGTTGTTTGCTCTGTTTGGTTTCCACTGAGCACATACAGAATGACTAAGGTTGGAAAAGACCTGTAAGATCAGCCAGTCCAATCATCAACCCAACACCCCCATACCCACTAGACCATGTCCTCAAGCACCATGTCTACATGTTCCTTGAACACTTCCAGGGATGGTGACTCTACCACGTCCCTGGGCATCCTGTTCCAGTGCCTGACCACTCTCTCAGTGAAGCAGTTTTTCCTAATATCTAATCTAAACCTCCCCTGATGCAACTTGAGGCCGTTTCCTCTCGTCCTGTCACCAGTTACCCAGGAGAACAGACCAGCACCCGCCTGGGCAACTGGGCAGGACCCTCACTGGGTCTACAGTTGAGACCATCCGCAGTCTTGCTAACTCTCTTGCCAAACCTAGTTAGGTGATGCAGAGAAAGATTGGGAAGAAAGGATACGCTCAGAGGGAATGATTAAAAAAAAACAAACAAACTGAAGCTAACATAAGAGAAGTACAGACATTAGAGGTGGGTTCAGACTTCAGAAGTCCCCTTTTGGCAGAACTCAGCGTATGTGGTAATCAGCTATACCTTGTCCCTACTGAAAGGACACTGCGTGCCTAAAAATTTACTGCAGACTCATTGAAAATGAGTTTTAGTCACCAGTTGGGTCCATAAATAAAGGCAGAAGATGACTATTCAGGGAGGGAAAAAAAGGAACTTGCAGGGAACTTTCCACTTGTAGCTAAGACACCCTTGGGAGAGGAGGGAGGAAGACTGTCAGAATAAAGGACTTCCCCCCACTCCAGCCTCCCACCAAGGCCTTGGAATGACTGTTCCTAAGGGGTGCTCTGGGTTCTGCAGAAACACGCCGGTCTGGCTCCCGAAGGCAGGCTCCTGGCTCAGTGCTCCGCACCACAATTACCACCGCAGCGCTGCACGGTGCCGAGAGCCGCTCAGGAAACACCCATTCTGCCAAAGAGCCAGAAAACCCGCGCTTGCCGCTGATGCAATCATCCGTTACGAGCGGATCTGCGCTGCACTGCAGCCATTTAGGAGTTGACCTGCGCTGAAGAGTGTTTTAGAGTCCATCTGCGGGTCGTCAGCTTCAGTTAAATTAACAGAAGTAGAAAACGGAAGCAAAACTTTCATACTGCCTCTTCCTCCGGGTTAGCACACCCGCTGTAAAAAGAAAATCCTCCCCCTAAGCTACTGCAACCCGCCTTGGCTACACTTTTAGTTGAGTGGACAGCATTTAAAATACTTGGGAAGCCTGGAACGTCTCCCTTAAGAATAAGGCTTTGTTCTAGTAGCTTAAAAGACGATCTCCAAAAGTTACCGGGTGTATTTTTTTTATTTTAATTTAGGTCCTTATAAGCGATCCATGCGCTATGCCGCACTGGTTTTTCTAACACTGCATTAGATCCCTACTCTTAGAAACAACCTGGGAAGAAAACTTTAAGGAGCATTTGTAGCATGTTCCCTCACCTCTGTAAGCTCTGGTTGTTCCTGAAGCTTATTAGTTCCTAAACTAGTAAGTTCCTAAACTAAAAGTTCCTATTAGTTGTCAGTAACTTCTTCCCAACAGGAGAACTGGAGGGGAGAGGGTGGTAAGGCATCCCTCTGAGGTGACCTTAGGAAGGAGGAATTTTAAAAAAGTCATTCCCATGGACACAGTCTGAGGAACTTCAGAGCATCCTGAGAATTTTAACAAATTCCAAGAATTATCCTGCATCTTTTGCCTGCCTCTGGGACTCAAACCATGCTGGCAAGTTCTACCCAAACTGCTATCACCTATCGATATTAGATTGATGTGAGCACCCACGGGACCCTTTATTCTCCACCAAAGGCCCACGACTCCCAGCACCTGAGCTGACGTGTGTGACCAGGAGGCTTCTCCTCCCGCAGAAGTCCTGCTGGCAGACAACCATCAGAGTAACTGGATTACCTGGATTGCCACTCCAGCTCCACCATCACAGCACGTGCTGCCTTCAACAGCCGCAGCACAACACCCCGTGCTGGATTTCACTTGGGAAGATCCAAAAGGAGCTTCTTCTGGAAGGCCATCATGGCGTTTAAAACGTGTCTTAAAACGATAATCAAGATCCACAAGCGTGTTCTTGATGTTCACTTTAAAAGTAGAGCACTGCCAGAGCAGTTAGCATTAATTAACAGAGGAAAGATGAAAGGCCCCAGTGAGCAGGTAAAAACAGGGTAATCTAAACTCGCCCATCTTCCCTCCATTCCTGGGGAGAGCAGGTGAGGCCACCAAGGGAGCACAGTCACCAGGCCTGCTCAGGTGGCTTCACCCACAACTCCATGTCAGCTACACCAACATTCAAACTCTTACTGCTTTTTAAACACACAGCAAAGGGAGAAGTGCAAGGTCTAGGCACCGATGTTAGAAGAGGCACGAGCGGTACCCACCCGCACTGTACCCCAGCCAAGGTCTAGGCACCGAGGGGATGTTAGAAGAGGCACGAGTGGTACCCACCCGCACTGTACCCCAGCGCTGCTGCCAGGTCCTGACGCCCCTGAAAACAATCCCTCCGCGTGCTGACTTACCCCAGATGGTCTGCTTTTAGAACACCATTTTACAACCAGACCTTGAAAGGAGAACTGGGTTTTTAAGCACATTATTTTGTGCAACACCTCCAAAAATAAGCCCAAAAATGAACACGGGAGGTTTCTGCACTCTGAAATCTTTGTGACAGAGTTTCAGGGCAGAAACTGAGCACCTCTGCTGGCAGTGAGGTTCCTGAGATCAGGGGAGTTCTGGACACAGGAGGTATCAATGGCCTCTCCTCTGCCTACCCATCTAAACACTCATTCCAGTTTCTCTCCCAAGGGCTCTCCGTGCCCTCCCACCAGCAGCCAGGAGTGCCCCGCGGCCACGCTTTCTCAGGCCACCAAGCCCTGCACCCACCTGGCTACATCACCTCAGCCTTCCATCCCCCCCTGCACCGCTCGGTCACACACACACACATCTACCATGCGTATTTATACTCCCTGA